ACAGGTTATCGATTTTTTGACAATACTAGTCATAAAAAAGCTACAAAAAATTCCCAAACAGCACCGATAAAGAAAACAAAACAGAACTACACAGAAATAATGAAAAAGAACAAAGGAACCACACTTTAGACTCCAACCGCCAAATTATTTGTCAGACTCACACACTACGACGCTTAAACTCCAGCACCCCCCCCCCCCCCAAAGACTTAAGTCAGACCAACCATATCTGTGGGTACCAATCAACTAACAAGAAACTGCACATTACACTGGACAGTGCAAAAACCAAAAGGCTGTAGATCCATACCATGATGCTAAATTTTGATTGAGGGGACCACACCAAAAGTTTAAACAGAAGATGCTCACGGGAACCAGTACGAACTCATGAACCAGAATTCAGGAAGAAAAAGTACAAGCACAAACATGACCACACTGCCAAAATGCCCCCCCCCCTTAAAATGAGGACTAAAAATAGCCTCATTAGAGAACAAAGAGGTGAAAATAGAAAACAAAAAAGACATTAATAGATTTTCGTCATCATAACCGTGTACATTTTCAGGTTGCCTGAGATACTGAATCATATCTGAATATATTTGATATTGGTACCAAAAAAGTATGCACATAGAAAAGAAAACAGTCAACCTCCATTGAAGCATAGCATTAGCAAGTCAAGGAGCACGCTTTCCTCAAGTCTAGATTCATTGCCCCCCTACTTTACCAAAATCATACTCTTCCCCTACCTTTTAAATCGTGATATTTGGCCTCGCACAAAAGCTATTAAAACACACACTTGTTTGGAGACATTCAAACCATAAACCTAATGGAATACAATAGTCTCCGCCTAAGATCCCAGTGCTCGGGAGCAAAGGAAAATGCATGATCTTAACCAATTCATCAGGGGGAGAAGCCACAGTGAATCATATTCAGGCCCACAATAGGTAAAATGATCTCCCCTTTCTTTGAAATGAACTGATGTGACCCCCTGAGTGGGTGTATGACTTATGGCGAGCAAAGGGTCATTACCACCTTGATGACATGCCATTTTCACCAATCCAATCATGAGTCTCAAGATCTGTCCATCCAATTGCTCCTCCCTTTAACCTGTCCAAAATTTCTCTTTATTTATTGTTTTCCATCTCAGAATCAAGTTCCTCTTCCTCTATTGTAATGCACCATTGTATTGTGATCGCACCCATTAAAATTCACTCCGTCAGGCAAATTCCAGAGTAGAGATAAAAGACAACTCTTGCGATGATCAGAGAAACAGAAGGACCAATGAGCTCACAGTTCAATGTGATCTCATCAAATGCGCCTTGTAGGCCCTTCCCACACTTTGACCAGCTGCGCTCGTTTGTCTTTTTGTTCTGCAAATTATTGTCCGACATGCAGGATCTTAGCAGAATGAAGCCATTCAGAACAGGATCTTCGGGGTGACTTTTGTGTTGTAAAAATTCTGTATTCTTACAACAGCCCCAGTCATTTTTCTGCACTCCCTAGCAATCGAAATGGAAGTGGGAAATTTAAAGACAAGAATAAACTCCCACTATTTGTCTTCGAGCTTTTACCCCATGGTAACGTCACTAGAGCAAAAACATCCACTTTTCTTTCACTTTCAGTACATCCCCCCCCCCTAATGAAACTGAAAACATACGCTCTTGGGACAGGTGGAGGCCGGAGCAAGGCTGAGAATATACGCTCTTGGGATGGTGGGAAGTAAGCAGTGCTGAAAATATCCACGCATGGGGCTGGAAGAGTTAAGCGAACCGGGACCGTTAGTGATCGGATCTTGGGCGGAGGCTATTGTACTTCTGCCAGTCACCCTTTTTCAAGATTGAATGAAAGTAATTTCACTGCCATACAAGAAAGTAAATTCTGTCACAACTCACCTGAGGAGACAGCAAGAGTTTTCTCTCTCTCACTCAACAAAAACAAACTGACACCTTGTTCCCAATGATTCAACCTCCACTAACAAGAATATGAGATATTCGGTATTCCTCAGCTCCAACCTCAGTTCTTTGTATTTCATGAAATGTTCAATGTCTGACAAAAAATATGGACCACAATAACTCACTATCCCTCCGAATATTGTTCTAGCATTACATTTACAAAACAATGAAATTGTCAGAATCCACATGCTACTTTCAGTATTATCATTACTACAACACAATTGACCTTTACAAAACCGGCTACAGCATAAAACACTCTTGATATAAGACTCGTTGCCAAATAAGGAGAAAACGTACATACCTCAAATTATAAAAGCCCATATGTGCCATTTTATGTGTCCGTAAGTCAGTGTTAAGAATTTACCATGCAGAAAGCAGAAATATGATTTACTTTGGCAGGATAAAATGCTTGAAGCTGACTCTCTCAATAAAAAAAATCTGCGCTTTATGAAACAAATCCTATGAAAGTATTAATTTTTTTTAAAACCCTGAAGGGATGAGAAAACCGAAGAATTAGTTTGGAAAATATATTAGCACTTTAGGTTAATCGTGGAACATGGAAATAAAAAATATAAAAACCCACATTGACAAAAAAAAACCCCAAACCCCAATAAAATCTGTTTCATAGTTGAAGAGATTTAGTCATAGCCAGTTGAAAATTCGATTGGCTTACAATATATTGTACGAGATATTTTGAACGGTCTTATTTGGCACCGAGTCATATTTTCATTTGAAATCTTTCACATACATCTTAATGTGCACATAGAGCATTCATTCATGAACATCAAGCCTGAGCCTGATGAAAGACACTAAGCAAGGGAAAGATCACAGAACGAAATAGGAAAGAAAGAAATGAGTATATAAACCATGTCAATATCAAGAATGAACAAACCCTAAATACATTGCGAACTGAGGACAAATCTATCACTAGCAGAGAGATTGCATAACAGGCATTTGGTTTTTCTTCGTGGCAGCCATATAGAAAAAAACCAAAAACAACCTTTGAATTAGAATTCTAAACCCCTTTCCAAAAGAAACTGAACAAAAAATGAAGCCCCAAGTAACATTCACATCACAGGGATTGAGGATCCAACACTTTGACAGCGGAGAGCAAGGCTGAGTATTGTTTCACGCGGAAGAAAAAAAAAAGGCAAAAAAGGGGTTCAAGACATAAATCTAATCCACAGAGCTGGGTGGTGGGGGGGGCGCCATGGCCAAAAAGTAACACCAGTAGAGTAGGAGCAATGATGATTTTTCGTAACTCAAGTAAAGTAAGAGCAACTTTTTCAAAGTATTAATTCATCAAAACAGTGTGACGTGGGTCATTCTTATTCGATGACTGTGATAATTAATTTGTAAAAATTTTGGGGGACAAAAAATGCACTTCAAAGTTGCCTCATTGATCTTGTGGTGATATATATGCCGTAAAGTAGTTGACAAAAAAGCAAGTAGACTGTTCAAATTGTGTTTCAATTTTAGTTTTAGTAAGAGTATTATGGCACTTGCAACACAATGTCATACAAGTGCCGAAGATTAGAGGTGTTACAAGAGAGTAACAAACACAAAAAAAAAGAAGGAGGGGAGATGAGGACGATAGTTTGATAAGAAAGAAAGAGCAAATCACACTTGAACACTCGCCAACCACCCACAAATTGTGTTTCAGCCTAAATAACACAAATTAGAGTTTGATAATACAGTCCAATGACTGTGCCGTTTCAGTCATCGCTTTGAAATACATTTATGATGAGCCTCTCTGCCAGATACTATAAGTGCCAAACGCAATTAACACATGGTCAGTAGTGGGTTCAAGACAAGTGCAAATGACCAGATAGTTTCACAAAACCTATCAGTCTCGAGTAGTTTTCCATGTCAGACATCCCTTAGCAATAATTTTAACTCTCTCTGATGGTCTCAAGTAAGCTCAGGAATCTTCTTTCATCTAACTTTCAGTTCCGTGTTTGTGAAGCCCACTCAAAGAAGGGTTCCTAAATTAGAGGAATGCAAGTCGGGTAGAGCAAAAAAAAATCTTTAAAAAAAAAAATTTAAGGTCACGAAAACAAAGTAAAAGTTACCAATAAGGTAAAGCCAATTAAAATTGTGGGGGGTAACACATCTTTGCACACAAAACAATCATAGTAACTGAAGAAAGTCTAATAACCCAGTTCTGTCTGACAAGAAGGCAGTGGATAAAATATCCACTGTTCAATTCATCGATCAAAGAAAACAAATGTTTCCTGCATTAGAAAGATAAATGGCTCGACAAGTGCAACAAGTCTTTGATAACGTAATGTAGGCAATGATAATGATTATAGTGTGGCACCATCAGTAGGTTTTTATTTCCTAGTGTACAATTGAACAACCTACTGGAAGGTTTTGAGGGGATTTTGTTACAACCTGTAAATTAAATGCACTAGACCACTTTAATCTAGTAGTTTAAAGTACACGTGTAGCAAGAGGTGCAATCTAAAATCTTTTATCTCATAAGGCAGCGAACTGAGATGCAGTCAAATATATTGAAATTAAGACCTTCCCTAATTCCTGGGGGGTTCCAAGGTTAAAATGAAGCTACATGTACAAAGGATAAAAGATATGAAAAGGACACACAGACACCATGCCCTGCGAGTTCGTTTCAAGTCTTACATTTGCCTAGTGGTTAGGCTACCGGACTCGTAATTGTGAGATTGCGGGTTCGAGCCGCTGACCAGACGTTGTGTCCTTGGGAAAGGCACTTTAAATGAATTTTCCCCTCTTCACCTTGGTGGGAATGGGTACCCAGCTATAGACAGTGAAAGATCTTGTCAGTTTGTTAGTGTGTGAGCGCTTAACCAGCTGCTTGCACTGCATGCTTCCCGGGAAGCTGAGAATGTTTCTGAGTGTTCTATGGTCTGCTGGGGTAATAATATAGTGTAAAGCGCACAGAGCTTGCTTTCGAGTGGGGACAAGTGCTATACAAATGCTATTTATTATTATTATTATTACATTTGCTCCAACTCTACTGTTGTTGACCGATCACCAACAGTGTTATGAATGAAAAAAATAACCCCCGACTACATAGGTACAATTATTTTTTTTCTAAATATAGAAATACTATTTAATTAAAACTCAAAACAGCAAGGTTGTTAACATTCTCTGTCTTGAAGCCAACCATGTGAAAATAAAACAATACCAGAGACAAAAGTAGACAGTGCTTTTTGTCTTGGCACTGAGATGCGTAAACCTGTTGTGCTGGGAGTTGTGAATTGCAGTTTTAGGTTTTAAGCTCTATGGCTATGAGTGCAATGATGCAAAATGTAACACCATTTATTAAGAGAAACCTGTCTCCACATTATACCCAGTTCCAACATAATAGAGATAGCTCCACAGAGTATTGATAAACGATTTGTTGACGAAATATTTTGAAAAGGAAACTTCCAAAAAGCAACAGCTCTAGACACTGCTATCTATTCTATGTTCGCTAACACTAACGAAACAGGAGGATGTAGATTCACAAGGCAACTGTGACTGAGCTCACTAGTAAACTTGCAAAGCACCAATAAATAAAGTATCTATCATATTTTTAGACCTAAAGCACAGCGAATTCTCCAGTAAATGCTAGTACTTTATGTCCAAAAGATTAAATCAAGTAATACACAACAGTTGACAGATATGAGAATGAAAAATCAAGTTCAGCTGAGGAAAAGGTAAGAATGAGGTTCAAAGACCATACCAATAGAGAACAAGCAGACAGAAATGACTCATTGCCAATAAAATCTGAACAAATATAAACATCACAAAAAGTATCACAAGCTCATTAAAAAAAACTAATGATGTGAGAGAACGTTTCTTTTACTGTCTAAAATTCATTAACCTTGGTCAACCAAGGTAAAAAAATCTTAAAACAGGTCTGCCCAACAAAAGGAAACAACCAAAAGTAGTGGAACAAACGAATGAAACCAGCAGCTGACTGATATTACATAAAACTATGAGGCCTTTACTGTTAGACAACATCAATGACCAAGCTCAGTAATGCTATCTTCTGAAGAAAAATGAGGAGAAAATGTACAAAACTATGAAACAGGCAAAGGTCATCACAACATACAAGATCCATGATTATTTACACATAAATACTGTACACAGACTTAGGTTTGTGATCATAAGTTGATGGGTTGAAAAGAAAACAAACAAAAAACTTGAGGACGAAATTTATGAGCACACAGAAGAGAAGCGAGGAAGGAGAAAAATATCTAAAAGTTTACAGTGGTGGTAGCTAGAATTCATTCTATCCACTTGAAGGTTTTTTGGTACAACCTCTGCATACATTAGTTGAGAAAGTCAATAGCTATGTCATATAAATGCTTTCACAATTTGAAGTAATGGCACTTGGGAGTTTTTCGTACTGATTTAGCTATCACTAGTCATACACAATTATTTCGTTAGTCACTTATTACACCATAACTTACACTTTAAAATAAAATGTAACAAAAATACGAATGCAAAAAAAAAAAAAAGGAAAATAAAAAAAAACAAAACAAATGTCTCCTCAAATCTTTGCCCATATAGCAAATATCGAGTCTACAGTCAAAAGTTACAAACATAGGTTCCTCTCAAGAGCAATGTTGCTTACACAAGTAACTTCAAATTCATCAAAACCCTTGATTGCACAGCAATAAAACTGGAACACATGTTCGCACAATAAGAGTATGCCGTAAACTTTTCATCAACTGATAAAACCCAGGGCAACATCCATCAAGTCATCATCTATCTCACAAGGTGAATCTGATCCTTTTGGAGTTGATGCACCCGAATGTGTCGGTCCAAGTGCAGGAGACTTTGTACTTTTATTCACTGAATTTGCCAAGTCAGTTGCGTTTTGAGGACTATCTATCACTCTACTCTCTTCACTCACATGTATGCTGTTAACCACAGGCTCGCCTTTCACAACTGGGGAAGACAATTTGCTCACAGGGGAGGCAGAACTTATGGACCTTTCACAGCCGGCCTTGGATGATGTACGCGGTGACTCCTCATCATCAATGACTAAACCGTTTTCTGGACTACTGATATCGCTAAGGGGACTGCTCACAGATTTTACAGACTTCCTCTCTGAGCTACTCTGAGTCTTTTCCTTTTTACCGCTGTCATTTTCTGAGATGTCATGTTTATTGTTTACACTGTCTTCTGTGTTTTTCTCCACAACCTGAGAGGTCTTCTTATCCTCTTCTGACCACGGTTCAACCACAGCCTTTACAGACGGAATTTTGAAAACATTTTCATCAAAATCTTTTTGTTTCTTCACACTACCGGCAGAAGTGGGTGTGGGAGGTCGAGGGGAGTTATTTCTACTGGAGGGAGCTGATTGTGGGGACTGAGTAGTAGGTGATGGAGAAGGAGTTCTGGAAGAATTGACGGCGTGCTGTACGTTGGTCATTGCAGCTGAACACTGAGTAGAAATAGCTGGTGGAAGCCATTTCTCCTTTGTCTTGTTTAATTGCACATTGTTACTAGATACAGATTGCTTCATGCTTTCCCCCTCCAGGACTGACTCCGAATTCTGAGGACAAACTTTCTGAGTGTTGGGTTCAAAACTTTGCTCAGTCTCTTTGGTACTGGGCATTTCCGTTGGTTTTTTATCACATTGGCTTAAATCAGAGCCCACTGGAGTCTTATCACTACCCCTTGTCCCAGACTGATTGGTGGAGACAACAGGAGCACTTCCTGGACAAGGGTTGCATGATTTTCCATTGTCCACGCAAGAAAAATTCTTTTTTTCCGTATCTGGAGTAGAAACTATCTTGACAGAGTCAGAGTTGGGACTGCGAGGTTTTTCATTCTCATCTGGCATGTCTTTGTGAGATTGTGGGTCCCCCCTGAGATACTTGTTGCTGCTAGAACTTACGGCAACCTTGTTACTAATGTTGCTTTGATTACCCACAGATGTAGATGGGGATACAATGGAATCAAAAGTGCTTCCCTTATTTTTCAGCTTATCCACTATCGCAGAGAGTGAATTCTTTCGACCCCTTGAAGCTGGAAAGCTAAACTTGTTTTTATTATCTGCACTAGCACTGAGAGGCGTTGTGGGAGTGGATGAACAAGAAGTCAGTTTCTCCGAGGACGTAACTTCAGTGGAAGGTTTACTGCTGCCTTTGTGGGAAATATTTTGCCCTTGATCTGAGCTTATGGACCTCAACTGAGCAGGTGCTGTCGTTGGGACTGAGGACGGGCTGCTCACAGGCGGTTGTGAAGAAGAACCAGAACTGTACGCAGGTGTAGGAGTAGGCGTAGCAGTGGCTTTTGGTGTCCCACTAGAGGAGGACTGTGATGATGTGGACGTGCGGCTGGAAATGGTAGATGGCGTCTGTGATGAGGATTTTTGAGCAGAGATAAGTGGCGTGGAGGGTGAAGAGATGGAGGATGTTGGGGCAGCAGTAGCTAGGACACTGGTTGTACTAGCTGGGAGCTTATTCACAGAGCTGCTTCCAGAAGACAGTGCAGGTTTCAAACTGCTGCTCTGGCTAGAGGAAAGAGTGGATATGGAAGACGTTTCTGTGGTTTTCAGAATAGTTTTAGTAGTAGGAGACATTTTATTGTTGCTGCCTGTGGTTTTCAGAGTGGTTGTGGGTGCGTGCTGAGATTTATTGGCATTTGCTACACTAGGTGATTTGTTGTAATTGGAGACTTTTGAGCCACTCTGAGACTGCTTTGTGGTACCTGAAGAGGATGGTTTTGCTACAGAGGAGGACGATGAACGATTAGAAGAGCTGCTCAGACTGGGAGACCGACTTGAGTTTGTGTTAGGTGACCTACCAGAGCCTGATCCACTGATATTAGGAGATTTGTTTACACTGTTAGTGTTGGGAGACTTGTTTGTCACGTGGTGTAGATTGGGCGACTTGCCACAGCCACTCACGGTGGGTGACTTGCCAACAGAGGACTGTTTCCCATAGTTGGGAGATTTATTTACACCTTGTGTGTTTGGAGATTTGGTCACAGAAGAGTTCTGTGAGGGTCGTGAACTGCTGTTGTTCATGTGACTGCCGGATCCATGCTTTTGTGTGCTCGATGAATTATTGCCGGAAGATGAAAACTTTTGACCAGAGTTACTAATCACACTGCCATTTTTGGGACTGCTACTAATACTACTGTTTAACTTAGCACCACTGCCATATGGCTTCTGAGGGACATTAGGATTATTAAAATTTGAGCTGCCTGCATTTCCTTTCACAACAGAATTATAAATTGCATTGCCTGGTGCCTTATGACTATTTGCGATACCGGGTCCTGTCTTCTGACTGCCTCCACTAGCAGGCATACTCCCACTAGTAGAATTCACAGTCCGGTTCATGCCCACTGGACCCTGAGGCCTCATCTGAGGTGAGTTCATAAGTGGACTAGGCTGACGATGCAAAGTCCCAACACCGCCTCGATTTGCGTTGAACCCTGGGTTCGCTCTGTTGCCCCCTCCAGCACTGGAAGCACCACTCCCAGGCATGGCTGGACGATTGCTGTAGTTGAACGGCGGACCCGAGTTATTACCTGGCAGCCTGCCTCCCCCTGGCACAGTGCCTGACGTTGTGCCAGGGTTAGGCCGGCCCCCGGGGCCAATTGTGTAACTGTTGTTGGATTTAGTCCCCGCTGAAGCAGGACTGGTCCCTGAGGCTGGATCTAGGCTTGATGTGCGGTTTATGGAAGTGTTTGAAGATGAGGAAGACCGTTTTGGAATTCGAGGCAGACTGGCAACTTTGCTGACTGTGGGGGCATTGGGCAGAATGCTGGACAGAGATAGATTAGCAGCCGTCGTGCTGACTGGCGCACTTGCAGGGGCTGTAGCTGATGGCAGTGACTGAGATGAACCACGACGCTCTGCCAGGCTGGACGAAGATGGACCCCGTCGCTCTAATAGCGAGCTGAGAGCGGCAGACCGCTTATCACTTGTGGGCGTTGATGCCGAGGTAGAGCTCCGCCTTTCTTGCTTCATGCTTGCTGAAGAACTCCCAGCATTTTTAGAGCCAGACTGACTGACATTAACTGTAGAGCCAGAATTTGGCATTGTGAGGGGCTTCAACCTGATGGTGGCTTTGGTCACTAGCTTTGGGTCCGTTTTGTTGCTCACAACATTCCCACCCACCACTTTGGTATTTCCTGGTTTCACAGAGGATTTGTGACTAGCAGAAGACTTTGTATTGGTCACCACAACATGTTTGCTAGAACCGCTGCCAGTACTTGCCAGCATATCCTTTTCTTTCACAGCCTCATGGACAGAAGACACCATTTCTTTCACATCTTGCTTGTTGACTAGGGCTTTCTCTTCAATTAGAGTGGAGGAAATTTTCTTTGAGATTTCATAACTCTGACCTTTGCTATCAGAAAATGAATCAGACTTGTCAGACACTGGTTTCTTCGCCACTCTAATTTTAAATTTGAAATCTGCCTTCTGGTCATTCTCTACTGTCCTATATACAGACTCTTGCACAATATGCTCCGTTTTCTTTCTTTTCTTCTCACGTTTTGACTCGTCTTTTTCACGTTTTCTTTTGGTGGTATTCCCAGATGACTTTTCTTTTTTCTTAGGTTTTTCAACCTTTTGCATGAACGAAGGGTCACTTGAACGCTTCTGTTTATTTGTTGATATCTGAAGTCGAGTTGGTGATGCTGAGTAAACATATCTGTCAGAATAATTCATGAAAGGGCTATCATCATCCTCGTCGCTTTTAAAATCAAACGTTCCACTACTATTGGGTTTTCCATAGGTCATCTCAGATTCGTCGAATGAGTTGCTTGCTTTAACAGTCGGCTTCATGTTATTCTGTTGCTTTAAAGGCCCAACCCTTAGTTTTAAAGAGACTTTTCCTTCTGAATGCTGCACTTTTGAATCACTTTCTGCAACTTCACTTTTTATGGTTTGTGGATGCAGCTGCCTAGAGACATCAAACTTTTCAAAAATGCCAGTCATACTTTGCTTGTCATTGACCAATTCCATACTAGACGAGTGCCTTAACTGCCCTTTGCGTAGAGATGCTGCCGAAGGCTTAATGTCTTGGATGATAGCACTATTGGTAGCCACCTTGCCCATGGTACCATAAGACGCCGCCTCCACAAGCCCATGCTTGTCACTGAAGAAGCTGGACTTGAGTTTGTGCCCAGTGTTGAGCACTGGCGGAGGACTGTCTGATGGAGCCAGCAATAGGCTGCTGAGCTTGGAGTGAGTGCCTGAGCCGTGAATGATGGCTGCTGCTGCATCACTCGGGTCGTAGTCCTTCGCCCTGCCTACCTCTCCCGACCCTTTGAGGTAACCCTCAAGAGAGGTAGAGGCGTTCTCGTTTTTTGAGCCCGATGGAGAATTTTGTAGCATGGTGGGAATTCTTCCTGCAGCCTCATTCTTGCTTAAGACCATGGGCAAGTCCGGCTCCGCTTTGACATCCTTGTGGATGATGCGCTCTACACTATCTGTCAGTTTCTTAATGCTGGACTCCCCGTCCGGATTTTCTTCTGTGAGATCGATAACATTCCTCTGATTGCGAACTGAGCTAGCAGAGTGATTGAGCACTGAGTGGTGGTGATGATGATGATGATGCCCTGAGGGACCGAGAGTGGGTGCCATGACACCAACAACGTTGGGAGGGGTCGCCATTCGGACTCCCATGACCTGGTCACTTATTGACGGGCCCAGATCCAGATCGACAGAGCTGCCCACAGAACCAAGGCGATCGGAGGAGTCACTGTCACTGAACCTGTGCTTTGGACTGGGTCCACTGAAATCTGACTGGGACCTGCGTTTGCGCTGACGCTTGAGCGGCGGATTAGGCGCCGGCTTGCAGTTCATGGGTATGACTGTGGTGGCCACAGAGGTGTTGTCGTCAAGGAGACGGGACAACATGGGACTGTCATGGACCTCCTGCTGGCCACCTGCGCTCAGAGCCTGCTTCTCCTCTTCCAGCAAGTTGGACAAGAGAGACTGGTGGGACTTATCCGTGTCTGGTGACAGGAGCATACCATCACTAGAAGAGTGCTGACTATTGCTTCTCTCCGTCATGCGATGAAACTCCTCTAGTCCAGTCATGATACCACCCGCCTCTGCCAGTATAGGAGGGAGCATAGCACTAGAAGACTGGCCATTAGCCCCGCCACTGGACTGGGAGTGATGAAGAGAGGGGTGCTGCTGATGAGGGTAACTCGGAGGCGGGGGCAAAGGCGGGGGATGCGGAGGCTGAGGCGGAGGCCTTCCCTTGGTCGGGAGGCTTGCCGGCTGGCTCTTCATTAATCTTTGATGCATTTCTTTCCGGAGTAAAAGCTTTTCCATCCTTTCTCGTTCAGCAGCCAACGCAGCTTCCTTCAGTTTGCCCAGCTGTCCTTGTCCCTTGCTGATCAACCAGCGCAGCATTATGGGAATCGACATGCACCTACAGAGAATTGACAAAGAATTACTTTTTACTAAACACTTTTTAAAAAATAACTACCAACAATTATTAAATGCATTATATAAGTACAAATGCTCTTTCAAAGGAAAATAATTTTGCACAAAAAAAGATTTGGTTTATACTTTAGAATTCAGGCTAAATGTATAATTTAAAAAAGCTGAAGAAAACACCATTGTGTATGACACAAGTATTTACAAGTTATAGAATCACATAATGAATGTACCAAAATAAATGCGTTCACTGTGATTGAGATGTCATGAGCGAGTCTCAGAATTGCAGTGAACTAAACAATTTTTCTAAAGCCACCACCAAGTCACTGTGATTCTATTTCTCCCATTTAGTGAATAGCTTGTAACACAACTTCCTTTCTTTAAAGTCATAAACCAGACCTGCCACTCCACGAAATCTAAAAAAATCAATTTTTTGGTGAAAAAAATCTGGATCAACCGCAAATCAATCACAAGGGGCAAGGATGTTCACTCCCGGTTCCCTTTTGGGGGGCATTTCAGCCTGAAATAGTTCATTAGTTAATTTCTATTTTTTCTTCACCATATTAGCACCAAAGAAAGAAAAATACTGATGACCAGACTAGACAAATTAGAGTCGACTGTCAAAACCATGTCTGGGTTTAGCATTCATAGACGCAAAAAAACGTGCAAGACAAAACTTTTGCAGGAGTAACTTCATATTTGGGCCTCAAAGTAGAGAAAAAACCAAAAGAGATCATATACTCGAGTCCCAGTTGGATAGACTGGGAGAGTGCAGGTTACAGAGATGCTGAATCTTGAAAATAGCTTACACATAACTTTAATCACAAGGTCTGACTTTGATCACGTATGCACTCAAGGCAACCCCCATCTTGCCATCCTGCACAGACCTCAGCTCCAATCAAATCTAAAATTTGGTTCCAAGTTTGTTTATTTATATGTACATGTATCACGTCAAGAACCTAAGCCCAGGTGTCTAAAAATAACCCCCCCCCCCCGAAATTCCTGATAGACACTTTGGACCAATGCGATCAGTGTGAACGAACTCTGTTGATCCCGACAACTGACTGTTCCCGACACACGCGCTACACAAACGAGGTCATATCACTTGATGCGAACGCACGTTTAAAAGATCCACCGACAGGTTTTAATGACGGGCCCGACTTACAGAACTCGGATGAAACTTGTTTTTTAAATAACAGCAGAACAACGAATAATATTGATTATAATTTGTAAGTCATAATTGTTACAGTATCAGGTCATCATCAAAGAATTCTGGGTAGTAACCAAAGTGAAAGTAGATCTTGAGAGTACCAAAGTCAGAATTTCAAATTGACACTACTCCGATTTTAGTCGAAATAACGTGTGCCAGTCAACTACAAGACCTGACATTAAAAGTTTAGAAAATAGTGTTCAAAGTTCCTGCTGATAAAAACGTCCAATCAGTGCTTCTCAGCAAAACAATTTGATGCAACAGACCAGACAACACCACTCCCCCTCCTCGGAAAAATCAGGATGCTCGAAATTTGGAGCAAAAAATTAAGATATCACCATTAAATCGTGATGAGTGGCAGGTCTATAAACTGAGAAGTACTCAGGATGGAACAACGGGAATGAGAACTAGGTTGTTGCTATATTACACAATAACTGATCATTTGAGTTAATTGCATTACCTTTGCAAAGGTATTTAAATTGCAAATATACATGTCATTTATGATAAGTTTGTTTTAGTAGAGGTTTTACGGTGCTTGCAACTGCATAAGGTCACATGAGCTCCACATGGTGGATGTCAACAGAGAAGTCTGAAGTCCTTACAGGGAATCAGACTTACTCTGCTCACCTCTCTAGCTTCAACAGCACAAAGTCTGCTTTGACTATCAAGGCATCCCCGAAATAGCGGGTCACAAGCGTGTGACAAACAATAAAAAAAAGTAGAAGGAAATGACCATAACAAGGATTTGGAAAGAAAAAGCAGCAGTTCCCTGTTGTAGTTCAGACACAGTTATGAGCATGACATTGTTGAATCAGCCCATTTACAATTCTACTGTGCATTAGAACGAGAAATGTCCCCCTTTTGGGAATGGCCTAAAGACACTTCAGTTAGTAGCAGTGCCCCGGGAGGTATTATGGTAAGTCATGCAAATGAAAGTGTTTATTTCCTCTTATATCTATGGTTGTGTATAGCTGATGGAAACAGAAATCGAGAAAAAAAATCTGATCTGGGTTCTTAACCCTAACTCTGGCAAGTGGTTTCAACAGGAATGGCAAGGCTAATCCAGGGTGTCCAGCAATATTTGCTGAAAAAATTTACTACCTGGAAAAAAAAATTACTACCCAGCAAATCAAGTCCCACACCAGTCCGAAAAAGGGAGTTCATTTGCACCATCATTAACATATATTATCATTAGGCCTACATAATATATCATATGGAACGAAAATAACACGCAACAAAGTCATCCATTTTCCAGGGGCGTGTTACATAACAAACACACACACACACACAAAATATACCCAGTCAACAACATATGTCAATGTTGAACTGGGGTCCTGTTTGACTAGCCTAAGTATTTCAGTGAGTTATAAATTTTCCTCTCATTATTATATTATATTAAAAAAAGAATCCTGCTTTGAGCGTTCGGAAGGGCCTTTTCGAACAAGAATTTCGACTGTGAAGAACCAATGTAGGTGTCATGACTCATAATATTATGAACATGAAAGGCAAAAATTATTGCTCAAACTCAATAACTTGAATGGCCCCAGTAGACCCATGAAGTGAGTGAGTTGTAAGAACTGAG